TACATGCGCCCAAAAGAAAAAAAAAAAAAAAAAAAGAAACTTCTCCAAAAAATAAATAAATAAATTGAAAGTTTAACTTATTTCTCTAATTGTTTTTCCAGAAATATCTAGGCTCATAAATTTATTAGATTTTGGTTTGGTATTTCATTTTCTATACAGACTGTTGGGTGACACATGAGTATTTAATTAATGTCAGAGCTTGAATTTTGTCTCATACTTAGAACTTTGGCTAATTTACCTCTTTTTAAAGATTAGGCTAACAAGAAAAGTACTATAAGAGCTGCTTAAAATATATTCTATGAGTCTCACAAGAATGGACCTGCCAGCATAGTTAATGAAAGCTATATAATAAAGTACAGTGAAACTTTGAAATTTGGGCTAAAGTATAGGAAATATTTTATGAAATAAATTAGAAAGTATCTAACTTTTTGTCCTATTTCCATATTACAGAAAATCATAATAAAGTCTGTTTATTCTTATGGCATCACTGTATCAGTTTTACAGTAACTAAGCTAATATTATGTGAATCTTTTATTTATAAAATGTTCAGGATGCCCAGCAGACCACATTGATGAATATGGAAATAGCCGATTATGAACGTTTGATGAAAGAACTAAATCAAAAGTTAACTAATAAAAACAGCAAGATAGAAGATTTAGAACAAGAAATAAAAATTCAAAAACAGAAACAAGAAACCCTACAAGAAGAAATAAGTGAGTAAAACAAAATTTACTTCATTTTATAATTATTTTTATCATGATAGAATTGGTAGGGGTCGTGAGGGTGTTGTTCATTTCACTAGTCATTGACTGCCATCCATTTATTTACCACTGTTCTAAACATTACTGAGGACCAGTAGGGGTGTACAGCCATTTGCCATTACGATGACACTGGCCCACACTGGTACTGGTATATGCATTCACTTAAAACAGCTCTTAAATACCTCTTAGTGAGTGATACAGTGATAAATGTTCTTTATCTACAATGTGCTGATTGTCAACAGATTGCAAAAATTTATTTTTATAAAATTATTATAACTTTTTTGGGAACCAGCAGTTAGCGTAATGGCTACGTCGCTGGATTCCCATGTAGTCGACCGCGGTTCGCGTCCCGGACCCGGTGGCTTAAAACTCACACCGGGCGCGTGTGCGTGCGTGCCCAAGATCCTGAGAGGAGAATGGAGGAGGAGGGATTGCGGCGTGACCATCCCCTCTGGGGGGTGATTTCTCGCTTTCTGTCTCTGTGTCTCTGTCTGTCTGGCGAGCGCACGCGCCCTATAGCAAAAACCTCTCCAAAAAAAAAAAAATATTATAATTTTTTTATTATTATTATTTTTTATTTTGCTATAGGGCACAAGTGCTCACCAGAGAGAGAGACAGAAAGAAAGTAAGAAAGCAGGCCACCAGGTTCAGGACTCGAACCACAGTTGGCCATGTGGGAGTGTAGTGCCTTACCACACCACTTGCTGGCCCCTTAAGAAAACTTAAATAGCAGTGAAACATGTCTTTTCAAGGTGATTCTATTCCCTTTGTAAAATCTTTTCCAATCTTAGCATCTAAAACTATTTATTTCTTGGGCCAGTCTCTTGGCCTAGTTAGTGGTTAGGGGAGCAAGATCTTACTTAGCCGACCACAGTTAGATTCCCAGCCCTGGTGACCCAAAGTCCCAGGAGGATGGAGAAATGGAGAAGGGATTGTGGCATGACCAACCCTTCTCCTCCACTGAGGGGGTACTTTGTCCCTCCCCCCTGTTTATGCCCTTCTCTCCCACAGCCCCCATGGTGAATACATGCGCCCTCTAGCAATTTAAAAATAAATAAAGTTATACATTTTCCTGTAGATACCCCTTTTGCTGTGTCTCACAAATTGATATGTCATGTTTTTATTTTAATTCAGTTCAAAATATTTTTTGATTCCCTTTATGATATTTTGACCTATGGGTTATTTAGAATTATGTTGTTTAATTTCTAAATATTTAAAGGATTGTTTTGGATATTTTTATGTTAATGATTTCTAATTGAGTTCCTTTGCAGTTAGAGAAGACAGTCTGTAGGATTTCAGGCCTTTTATATTTGAGTGTTGTTTTATGAGCTAGAATAAGGGGGTTTTTTTGGTTAATGTTCCTTGTGCATTTGAAAGCGGTGTGTTAGAAGATCCTAGTTGTTGGATTGAATGTTTTATGTGATCCCAGTTAGATGAAGTCAATCATGGTGACATTAAGTCTTCCATAGCCCACTGATTCTCTTTACTTGTCCTACCAACTACTGAGGTATCTTGAAATTTCTAACCATAATTATGAATTCTCATCTTTATTCAACTCTGTTAAATTTTGCTTCATGCATTTAGAAATTCACATTGACTAAATATGCTTTTATGATTATTACATGTTTATAATGATTCTGTTTGTTGTGCAATGTCCTTTTTCTAAAGTCCTCTTTGATATTAACATTGATATTTAAAACCACTCCAGCTTCCCTTTGAAATGTTCCTTCAGATAGCATAGAATTGAGTCTTGCTCTTCTCCCCAGGTTGGCAGTCTCTGCTATGTTTTTTTTCTTTTAGATTTTTGGCACAGGCACGTGCTCGCCAGGGAGAGAAAGAGAAAGGGAAAGTGAAAAATCACCTTCCTGGGTGTTGCCCATGCCACAATCCCTTCTCCTTTCTCTTCTTGTGTGGGGCCCATACACACATGCACCTGTCTTATTTTTCAAGCCTCCAGGTCTGGGATTTGAACTGCAGAGTCAGCCATGTGGAATCCAGCACCTTAGCCATTATGCCACCTGGCTAGCTAAGCAATCTTTGCTATTTAATTGAAGCACTTAAACCGTGTAATATAATAATTGGTTTAACAGAAACAATTATTAGGTTTAAATCTACCCTCTGGCTGAATGCTAGCTGTTTGTCTTACCGTTTGTTTCTCTTTCTGCCATCATTGAGTTAGGTGAACACATTCTGTGCTGCCCTCTTAGCTCCTTCATTATCTTACTAACTGTATCTCTTTATTAGTTTTTAGTGTTTGCCTTAGAGTTTCTAGTTCATGTGTTGAACTTACCACCAGTTACCCTCAAGTTAATTTTACCCTTTCATATACAAAACCTTACTGCAGTATACTTTATTTCCCTCCTTTTTGTGCTATTTTTGGCATACATTTTATTTTTACATGTGTTATAAATGTAATACATTGTTGTTACTTTTGTTTGAAAATAGTCCTTTTAAGTCAGAGGTTAGCACATGGCCCACAGGCCAACTTGCCTGTTGTGTAAAGGTTTTATGCGAATCAGTGGTGCACATTCGTTTGTATCACCTGTGTGTTTTCATGCTAACAGGCGCAGTGAGTAGTTGTAACAGACTATATGGCTCGCAAGCCTATAATATTTATTCTCTGGTTTTTAAAGAAAAGTTTACCAACCTGTTTTGAAGAAATGAAAAATAGGGACCAGCAGTTGGCGTAATGGCTGTGTTGCTGGACTCCCACGTAGTGGGCCACAGTGACTGGACCCAGTGACTTAAACTCATGCCGGGCGCGTGTGCATGCGTACCCAAGATCCCGAGAGGAGAATGGAGGAGAAGGGATTGCGGCGTGGCCATCTCCCTGGGGGGGTGATTTCTCAATTTCTGTTTCTCTGTCTCTCTCTGTCTTTGTGGTGTACACACACGCCCTGTAGTCAAAACCTCTCCCAAAGAAAGAAAGGAAGGAAGGGAGGGAGGGAGGGAGGGAGGAAGGAAGGAAGGAAGGAAGGAAGGAAGGAAGGAAGGAAGGAAGGAAGAAAGAAAGAAAGAAAGAAAGAAAGAAAGAAAGAAAGAAAGAAAGAAAGAAAGAAAAAAATATACACGTATTTTTCAAATACCGTTTCTAGTGTTTTGCACTTCCTTCATATACCTCCACATTCTACCAGCTGTAGCTTCCCTTTTGCCTGAACAACTTCCCATAACTTAGTGTAAACTCGTAACAGGGGATTCTTCTAGCTTTTTTCTGAAGAAGTCTCTAATCTGTCCTTATGGAATGTTACGTTTCTGGGAATAGAATTTTATGATATGCCTCAGTGTTGTTTCCTTTTTGTATTCTGTCTGTGGTTTCTTGATCTTCTTGGCTATATAGGCTTCTAATTGTTTTTTTTTCAGGTTTGCCTTG